CACTTTCTGTCTCTCCATCTCTCTCTGTCTCACTGGTGAGGGCACATACTCAATAGCTGTAGAAATTAAATTAATAAATAACTCAACAGGTGTTATGGTAGTTAGGGTGGCTGGATTTCCATGTGACCTACTGTGATTCAAGTTCTGGATACGGTGACTTGACAATCATGCTGGCTACATGAGTATGCATGCCCAAAATCCCAAGAAAAGATTGAAGGAGAAGAGATTGTAGCACCACCTTGTCCCAGTGGTGATTTATCACATTTTTTTCCTTCTGGTGAATGCACACACACTGTGACAAAAGCTAAAAAAATAAAATAACATAACATGAAATAAACCTCCAGGAGTCAGCAGGTGGTGTCATGGTTTAGGTGGACTCCCACATGACTGGCAATGGTGTGAATCACAGAACTGGAAGCTTGAAAACATGCCAGTCATTTGTGCATGTATGCCAAAAATCACAGGAGGAGAATGGAGTAGAAGGAGTTGTGGTGTGGTCATTACCCTCTGGGGGGGTGGGGGGTTATATCTCACTTTCTCTCTCATTGTCTCTCTCTGATGAATATATGTGTTACATATATATATATATATATGTATATATATATATATATATATATATAAAACACTTTAAAAAACCCTCTAAAATTTATCAGGTGCTTGTGAAGGGCGTTTACCTGCCAGGGAAGAATAGGCTGGGCTGCATTTCCTGGGGGTCTCCAAGTTTGCCACATAGTGATCCAGCAAGTGAGCATCCAAAAAAGTATAGCCAGATTTTACTGAAGTGAAAATCTTCTGGGTATTGGGAAGGGTTCACTGTCTTGAGAAATTGCTTAAAGCCAGAAATTTTCCTTTTCTGGCTTGACAATAAGAGACTTCCATGGAAAAAGTATGGTGTGAGCTTCATAAAATTCAAAATATCATTCCACTCTGAGGAATCAAGATTTCTCATGATCCATACCTTTCCCAAAATTAAATAGAATTCTTTTTCTGTTCCTAGGTTCCAGACACTCCCTCCATCACCATGTATTATATACACATTTGCTGATGAAACTCTGATCCTCTTCACAAGAGTAAACTCATGATCTAAAATGAGACCTTTAGTGGCAGGGAGCTTTTCTGTAAAGGCCACACAGATATCTTTTTCTATCATCTTTGCCTTTACATCCTGGAGGAACTGCTCCCCTTGCATATCATCAGATACATAGAGTGCCACCCACATCCAGCCAAAATGCAGCAACAAGCAGATGATTCCATGAGTTAGAGAGCTGTCCTTGGTGGCCATCTGATAAACTGATGGAAATTGGTCTTTATCATTTAGGATGGGGTCAAAAGGACCATATGTGACCTGAATAAAAAAGAAATAATCTGATTCTAACCTGATTTGGATTTTGGATTGTTCAACTTAAACAGGTAGAAGATAAATCTTTACCTGATAAGATCATAGAATGGAATATTGAGTGAAGAAAATGCATACTGTGATAAAGAGCAGTAGAAGATTGTTTCTCACACACATTTCTTTCAATAAATAACATGTGACTAGTCCAAATAGTAGTATCACTTCCAGACCAAAACATCAAAGAAAAAGTATAAGGTTTAATAATTGTTTTATTGTCTAGTGTAGAAACTGAGGGATGCATAAATTTATAAAAATGATGCAACAAAATGGTGATTCTGCTACCTTGAGTTCATGTGACATAAGGATCAGAGGCTTCCTTTCCTAGCAGCCAAGGTTAAAAATGGGGAAGAACATTTGGAGTAGGGATACTAAGACAGCATTGTTGAGACAGGGAGGTAGTGTTGTTATATTTTTATCAACTCGACCAGGGAGAAATGTTCTCATATTGAAATGATCACCTTGTAAGCTAAATAATGTGATTGAATATATTAAAAAATGTAAAATAAAAAAAATAAAAAATAAAATAAATTTAAAAATTTTTAAAAAGTCAACTCTGAGAAAAAATGTTGTGTTTATGTTATGATACTATGTTTTATTACCACAGAATAATCTATATCATCTTAAAAGATATCTTAGCCTCTCTGACATTTTAAAAATGTAACTTTTCAAGAGCATGGTTCTCCTTAAGCTAATGTGTTTGCCAGTAATGTCTCCTGAAACTTTTATCAGACAGTTTCCCTGGAAGAATCTCTGAGGTGGAGAGCTGTTACGTGGAGAGTAACTGGAAGTGCTTTCAAGAGATCCACCTCAGGAACCAGCAGTTGGTGTAATGGCTATGTCACTGGACTCCCACGTAGTTGACCGCGGTTCACGTCCTGGACCCGGTGGCTTAAAACTCATGCCAGGTGCGTGTGCGTGCGTGCGTGCCCAAGATCCCAAGAGGAGAATGGAGGAGAAGGGATTACAGTGTGACCATCCCCCCAGGGGGGTGATTTCTCGCTTTCTGTCTCTCTGTCTCTCTCTGTCTGTTTGGCGAGTGCACGCGCCCTATAGCGAAAAAAAAAAAAAAGAGATCTACCTGCATGGGTGTGAGGAAGGGCAGAGGGAGCTGGTAAATCTCAGCTACTGTAACTGAGCCATAGTCAACTTGGAGGATCTCCAGTGCTGGAATGTCCTTTCTTTGTTCAATGTTGTAATGAATGCAAATGTTTTTATATCTTTGCGTCAAATTGTCCAATAAATATCCCTTGATATTTTTCTCTCTCCAGATAAGGTAAATGTCCACTCAGTTCATACTTTTTAGGAAATATCTTTAAATTGGCCATCAATGTTATTATTGGCAATTGAATGTAATGGATATAAACAGGTGTTTGGGTGAAACTTAACATATTCCACTTCTCTTATTTTTAACTTGTTAGAGGGCAAATTGTATCATGTGTGCCTGCCACAGAGAGACAGAGGAAAGTGAGAAATAACTCCTCTTAGGGGATGGGCATATTAATATTTCTTCTCCTAAATTTCCCATTGGTTCCTATTGATGGGATTTGTGATATGAAAGCACACAAGCCCAGTGTGTTCTTTAAGCCAACAAAATCAACATTTGAACCATGCAGTCAGCCACGTGGGACTCAGCCACATGGCAGAATCTAGCCCACTTCTGCTCTTTTTCTTTGTCTCTCATCTTTGTACTGCTAATAATCTCATGACTCAGGAAATTTTCTGTTCTTTTATTGTTGTTCTGTGTTTCAGAAAATTGTGCACAAAGAACCAAGAGAAGTTTTGAGGGTTGCAAGGTATTTGTAAGACCAGCTTTTACTTTTTCTTTGCTCATATGTGAGAAGACAGCATTAAAAGCTATTTAACTCTCATTCTCCATCCTGGAAACCCACTTACCTGTGGGCTTTTATAGAGTTCCATAAGGGTTCCCACTTGGGCTGAAAATGTTGACATGTTTCCTGTAATGATAGCAACAGCTTGTTTCTGTGTCTGGCAGTTGTAGTTTGGCAGGGTCTGATTCCTTCCAGAGAGCAAAAACACAGCATTTTCTAAAGTTCTTTTGTCACTGCTAAATGCATTGTAGAGATCATAACCCAGGGAAAGGTTAGGGAGCAAATGGGGGCTCTTATTGATCTCCTCAATGGCAAAGAGAAAGGCCAGTACATATTGGTAGTTCTTCCACTGGTACCTAAACAGAGAGGACAGTGTTAGGAAATGTAATAAATTTATGTAAATCAGGATAAATTCTTCAGCCAAGCCATAAGACATAAAGGTTAGGTCTAGGCTGGTATTCAGAGATTCTCTTGCACTGGTACATGGAGCTGTGAGTAATATTCACAGGGCTTTAGAAAACCTTGAAATGGTTTTCTTTCTACTCAAGAAAATTGTGTCCAAACAATGAAGAGAGGTTTCCAAGGCCTTGTGAGGGAGACGAGGTTTTGTTTAGCTGGATGATGACTCTGCCACCTGAACAGAGGTGATTTTAAAGGACGATCATTAATGTATAGAGAAGACAACTTTTTTTTACAGGCTGTGAATAAAGAGTGCACACATTCACCATTTTTTATACATTTAAAAAATTTACATATAGGCAAGTTACAATGTGTATGTGTATGTGTATACACACAAACACACACACACACACACACACACACACACATATATATATAATATGAAGTAGTTTTAGGATTTTTAAATATAACATTGAACAATTGGACTATGGTAGTTAATATGTATATCACCTGAAATATTTCAGATTTTTTATGAGGATAACATTACCACCATGCTCCCTTGGCACTATTGGAAAGACTAGTACTCAATGATGAGTTACATTTCTAATGATTACATTCACCTTTATAACCCTTCTCGAATGTGTCCCACATGTCATCTTGTTTCTATATAGTTCCAGAAACTACAATTGAAGCATTTCTTATTTTCCATATGTTCTGGAAATTTTATATAGCATCTGAGGGGCTAGCAATTGGCATGGTGGTTAAGTTGCTAGACTTTTAAGCTGACCACAGTTCAAGTCCCTGCCCAGGAACTTGATTTCTCTCTCTCTCTTTCTCTCTCTCTTCTCTCTCTCAAGCACATATTCCCTATAGCTTATTCAAAAGAAAATAATAGCAAATAACATTAAATAAATAATGTAAAAAGAAGCATCTGGGTTGCCAGTTTTTCAACCATTTGGTACATTTCTGGTACTTTTTGATGCTTTTTTTTCTGCAGATTTATGCACTTCTATATCAACTCTTTTTCTCTTTTTTTAATTTAATTAATTTATTTATTTTGAGAGATTTTTGCTATAGGGCATGTGTGCTCGCCAGACAGACAGAGAGAGACATAGAGACAGAAAATGAGAAATCACCCCCCAGGAGGATGGTCACGCCACAATCCCTTCTCCTCCATTCTCCTCTTGGGATCTTGAGCACGCATTCACACGTGCCTGGTGTGAGCTTTAAGCCACCGGGTCCAGGATGTGAACCGTGGTTGACTAGGTGGGAGTCCAGCGACATAGCCATTACGCTAACTGCTGGTTCCCTACATCAACTCTTTGAAAAAAGTGTTAAGTATGTTTTTGTTCAAAATTATATATTTAATTCAAATCTGCTTTTCACTTATTGACTACATCAAATATTTCTACCAATTTGTAAAAACATTACTCTCTGCAGTTATTTGTCTTTTAATTGTTCATTTTCTACTTGGAAGTTCTTAACTTTTAAATTAATATTACCTAAAACTATTTTTTGAGATTTTAAAAATTGCTCAGTTTTGTTTCTTATTTATTGTTATGTATTATCTTTAATTCTGTCTACATTCTCTGGAATTATTCTGGTCTTAATCTCTTAAATTTTGACTTTAATATTAACATTAAGAAATGTCATTTTTTTTTTTCTGAGAGGTTTTGGCTTAGTGTGCATTAGATTTCTGAAGAAAAAGATTCACACAGTGAGAGGGAAAGTAAGAAATTATTCCCAAAAGGCATGGCCATCTGGAAATCCCCTATCCTCTCTTCTCTTCCTGGGACCCTGGTCATTCATGCACACATGTCCAGGTGTGATTTTCAAGCCACCAGGTCCAGGACTCAAAGAGCAGTTGGTCATGTGGGAGACCAGTGACATAAGTGCTAAGCCATCTGCTTGTCCCCTGATTTGTTAAAAAAAAGCATGTGCGACTAGAGATTTTAATGCAATCAGAACTCTACTTTTTCAGCATTGGTTCTTTTGTCATTTGTTTCCTTTTTCCTTTTTTTTTTTTTTTCTTTTTGTGTCTCTTAGAAAAAAATGCTGAAAGGACAAGGAACATTTGATGGGGAAGGTAAGCATTTGATTTTCCAGACTTTTATTGCTGTGCCAATGTGGAATATCAATTAGAAGTTGAAATCCAACTGTGGTAGCAATGAATAGGAGGCACACATCTGCGTGGCATGTATTTCAGGCCACTTTATTCAGTACTCAAACCACATAGTCAGCCATAAGAGAAACAACAGGCTTTGATTTAAACATTTAAAAGAAAGTTTCCTTTCTTTCTTTGTTTTTTTATTTTATTTTGTTTTGTTTTGTTTTTGGAGAGACTTTTGCCTAAATGTACATGCATTTGACAAAAAAAGGAATGGATATAAAGTGAGAGGGAAAGTGAGAAATCCACCCCCTGCAGGGGAGGGCCACACCAAAATCAGTCATGTGAGAGTTCAGCTACATAACTGCTGTGCCATCTGCTGGGCCCCTGATATGTTAATAAAGGATGGTACACTGAATTTTTTTTTTTTTTTGCTATAGGGCATGTGCGCTCACCAGACAGACAGAGAGAGACATAGAGACAGAAAGTGAGACATCACCCCCCAGGGGGGGATGGTCACACCGCAATCCCTTTTCCTCCATTCTCCTCTCAGGATCTTGGGCACCCACGCACACGCGCCTGGCGTGAGTTTTAAGCCACCGGGTCTGGGACGCGAGCCATGGTTGACTACGTGGGAGTCCAGCGACATAGCTATTACGCTAACAGCTTGTTCCCATACACTGAATATTTTCATGCAAGCAGAACTCTACTTTTTCTGAGTTGTTGTTATATTTTACTGTTATTTTTTTGTTATTTTTTATAGGATGTGGGCAATCACCATAGAGAAATACAGAGAGAAAGGGAGGTAGTGAGAAGAAATAAACAAACAAACAAAAACAAAAACAAAAACAAAACAAAGTGAGAAATCACCCTCTGGAAGATGATCATTTCACAATCCCTTCTTTTTTTATTTTGTACTTGGGATGATTGGATAGGCAGGTAAAATTCCACCTGGCATGTTTCTCAGGCATCTTTAGTCACTATTTAAACTATTTAAACCATGTAGTCAGTCATATGGAATCCAGTTGCCTTAACCTCCATGCTGAATAAGGAGTTTGACTCCACTATAGGTAGATCGGAATGGGCTCTGCATAGTTGAGTTACTGTGGTTTTGATTTCTGTGTCTGATAAATGTTCACTGTGCTCCCATTACAAATGTCAGAGGAATTTATGACTCCTGTTGCTGGGCTAAAATCAGACTGAAACCCGTCACTGTGTATAGCACAATGTAAGTTTCAAGCTGCTGGGTCTGCCACTCACACCTCGATCATGTGGGAGTAGAGCTCCTTAACTGCTGGATCACCTGCTTGCCCCTTGATAAAACTTTTAATCAGACTTCAAAGAGTTTTTCTAGTCCTATATGCACACTTATATAAAACTCACACAAGTGAATTTGGCTAGAATCTCCATTACCTGTAATGTTACCACTTAGTAATTTTCTATCCAATTACTCCCAGCTTGTTCTTACTTGTCCTCACTATATTCAGAGTTGAAGCTAATATTCCTGAACTACTGCAAAATCTCATAGTTAAACTTCCCATATATTTTTTGAGGACTTAAATGAAGCATTCTTTACTCTGCTTTAAAAGGAATGCAGGGACAAACAGGTGGCATAGTGTTTAAGGCTCTTAATTTCCACATGGCTGACCATAGTATTAGTTTGAGGCCTGGCAGCATGAAATCGATGCCGTGTATATGGGCAAGCCTGAGAGGAGAATGGAGATTGGATTGAAGAGTAGCCATCCTTCCTGGTTAATATATTATGGTGGCCTTTACATACCCATGACTTCTATACAGAGCACATTTCTATAATCCTTTAGTCAGTGGTGAATGCTCAGAGTGAGCATTTTGATGCTAACATTAACTTTATGTCAGGAGGTCAGGTCTCAATATGCATGTGGGCCTCACTATACAGGTCTTGGTTGCAAAAGGGTGAAGGTAAGAATAATTTCACTCATTTTGAGCCTCCCAAAGATTGGATATGGGGATAGTGCTAACAAAGTGGACAAAAACCATTAATTTCTCTCTTTTGTCTTGAAAGAAATGGAGAAACATTGAAAATAAGAAAAAGAAAGATGATAAGAGGATAACAAGGCTGAACTTCCTGAGATCACAATTCTACACTTCTCTCATTTCTGTGCATGTGATTATTCTCAAGTGAGACTAATACACACCACATATATATGCAAACAACTTTATTACACGGTTATAATCACATTTTCAGATACATATAACCAACAACTTACCAGTCATCTGTCACTTCTTGAGTTGGCCTTATCAGATAATTTTGTGCAAGTATAGTTTGACCCTCCATGCCATAAATAGGGAAAAATCCAGCCAGTACCAGATCCCCATCCTTGTCGACACTTACTTTTACGTACGACAACTAATATCTGTCACCTCACATGCCGTTTGTAAAGGCTGCAGAAGTAGCAAAACACTAATCAAAGGTAATGACATGTCTGAGCTGGCCCAACACAGATAAAAAGCCCCATGTGTGTGAGCTGAGGAAATGGAATTGGATTGTGTCTGTAGACTCAGTTCTCTGTTGGGAGAGTCAACTCTGTGGAGGGCACAGGTGATTCTTACTTACATGCGCTGCCTTCAACCTATCCAAAGTGTGTGCCCGACTGGCATGACACAAAAAGACATATATAGAAACACTAAAAAAGGCCTTTCTACAGGAACCCTGGTGCTGAGACTCACGCCTAATCGGAGCAGCTCTGACTATCCTGACTTTTTACTGTTTCACTGAAGTCCCATCCAGGAACTCTGGGGATCTCTCCACCCTGGGGCTCTGCACCTGTCACCCTCCATTTTCGTGAAAAACAATTTGGGAAAAACATATTTTGCCCGTTTTTCTCCCCCAGCCTTTATGATTTCATAATGGCCAAGGAAAGCTTTGGGGACCATCCTATCCTGAGAAAACAAGCTTTACAATTTTGTGACCAGGAGAGGTACAAAGTGCTTGTATCACAAAACTGCTATTAATATTTGTATTTTTTGATGCTGTTAATATCTACAAAATTGGACCAATGAGTATCGTTGTGATTAAATTTCTAGACTCACACATTGCTAACCACAGTTCAAGTACCTGATCCACCAGCTTTAAACTCCTTTCTCATGAGTGTGCATTTGTGCCCAAAATCCTAGAAAAATTAAGGACAAGGTATTGTCGTATGATCATTCTCTTTGGAAGGTGATTTCTTGCTATGTATCTCTGCCTTTCCAGTGAGCACACACATGCTATAGCACAAATCACTCTCTAAAAAAAGCACTTAGTGGCCAAATTGGATAAAGCCATAGATAAGTTTTTTTTCTTTGTTTTTAGAGAGAGAATTTTGCTATAGGTTGAATGTGCTCACCCAGGACACAGAAAGACAGAAAGAGACAGAGAGAAAATAAGAAATCATCCCTCCTGGGGAGGTGGTCATATTACAATCCCTTCTACCCCATTGTCCTCTCAGGATTGTTGGACATACATACACACACACACACACACACACACCAGTGCTCAGTATGAGTTTTAAGCCAATGGGTCTGGGATTCAACCACAGTTCAGTATGTGGAGTCTGGTGAAGTAAACTTTGTGCCATCTGCAGTTCCTGCCATAGATCACAGAGTCCTGGAGACTATTTCCCCATTACTTTAAAACTTTATTATTATTATTTATGCATTCAATCATTATACATCATTTAGTTTGTAAAGAGATTTTACCGAACATGATATACGCCACAGAGCAGGTGAGTTCAGAACACTACACATGACATCACCAACAGGCAACAAGCCATATCTGTGTCCCACAAATGCCTTCTCCCATTGTTTGCAAATTTTCCTTCCTGAACCCTTCCCATCTCCTACTCTCCTTCCTCCTTGTCCCCAGTGGCCATAACAATTTTTTTTGGGGGGGTGAGAGGTTTTTGCTATAGGGCGCGTGCGCGCACCAGAAAGACAGAGAGACAGAGAGATAGAAAGCGAGAAATCACCCCCCCAGGAGGGATGGCCACACCACAATCCCTTCTTCTCCCTTCTCCTCTCAGGATCTTGGGCATACACGCACACGTGCCCGGCCTGAGTTTAAGCCACCAGGTCTGGGATGCGAACCACGGTCCACTACATGGGAGTCCAGTGACAAAGCCATTAGGCTAACTGCTGGTCCCACAATGTTAAATGTTTTTATGGCTTCCAGTTTTTCAGTCTCTACCATAGAGTGTAGACAGTCAGTATATGTTAAGTGGATACAAACATGTCTCTGTTTCATAGCCTGACTTGTTTCACTCAGCAATAAATTTTCCATGTTCATCCACTTTCTATCAAATGCCAGGGTTTTTTTTTTTAATGGCTGAATAGTATTCCATGGAGTATATATGCCACACTTTTTCAATACATTCATCTGTTTGTTGACATGTGGTTTGGTTCCATGGATTAGCAATCATGAGTAATTATGCAATAAATATAGTTGTGCAAGCTCTTTTCTGACAAAACATTCTCTTGTTCTTTGGGTAGATACCCCAGGAGTGGAATTGCTGGATCATATGGTAGTTCTATTTGAAGGTCTTTGAGAAATCTCCATATTGTTCTCCAAAGTGGCTGGACCAATTTACATTTCCACCAACAATGTAGGAGAGTTCCCCTTTCACCATATCCCCCCCAACACTTATTGTTTTTTATTGTTTTAGTATTGTCCATTCTGACTGGGATTAGGTGGTATCTTATTGTGGTTTTGACCAGCATCTTCCTTATGATGAGGGATGTTGAGCATTTTTTCATATGCTTTTTGTCTGTCTGTATGTCTTTCTTAGAGAGTTGTTTATTCAGCTCATTTTCCTATCTTTTAATTGAGTTAACCATTTTCTTCTGGATTAGTTGCTTGAGTTCCCTCTGTATTCTGGTTATCAGCCCCTTATCTGAGACATAGTTAACAAAAATTATCTCCCATTCTGAGGGTGGTTGATTCACACCAATTACTGTTTCATTTGTTCTGCTGATACCTTTTAATCTGATGTAATCCCACCTGTCTACTTGGGAGATTATTGCCTGTGGTTTGAGGGTCTTGATTAAGAAGTCTTTACCTACCCCAATGTCTCCCAGAGTTTTCCCAGTGTTTCCCAGCAGTAGTTTTATAGTTTGTAGTCTTAGGTTTAGATCTTTGATCCACTTTGAGTTGAGTTTTGTTAATGGTGAGAGATAGGGATTCAGATTAGTCTTTGTGCAGGTGGATACCCAGTTTTTCCAGCACCATTTGCTAAAGAAGTTTTCCTTTTCTAACTGGATTGATTAGTACCCTTTGTCAAAGATGAGTTGGCTGTATGTTTTGGGGTTTATTTCTGGGGTCTATACTCTGTCCCATTGGTCTTCATGTTTGTTTTTGTGCCAATACCATGCTGTTTTGATTATCAGAGCTTTGTAATATATTTTGGAATCAGGAAGAGAGATGCCACCCACTCCACTCTTCTTATGCAGGATGGCTTTTGCAATATGTGGTCTTTTATGATTTCAGACAAATTCTATGATTGTCTTTTCTAAATCTGTGAAGACTGTTTCTTGTAATTTTACAGAGATTGCATTCAATATGTAGATTAATTTGGGTAGGATTGTCATGTTCATTATATTAATTCTCCCAATCCAGGGACATGGGATGTTCTTCTTTTTTGTGTGTCTTTTTCAATTTCCTTTAAAATATTTTTATAGTTTTCCTTATAGAGGTCCTTAACTCCTTTGGTCAATTTTATTCCTAGTATCTTATGCTTTCTGTTTTTGGCTATGGTAAGTGGGATTACTTTCTTCAGTTCTGTCTCTGCTTGTTGTTTGTATATAAAAATGATAAGGATTTTTGTAATTTAATTTTGTATTCTTCCACTTTACTGTATGCATTTATTAGTTTGAGAAGTTTCTTTATGGACACTATTGGGTCTTCTATGTATACAATCATGTCATCTGCTAACTTTAACTCTTTCTATTTTATTCTCTTGTCTGATTGCATTGGCTAGGACTTCCAGTACTATATTGAGTAGGAGTGGAGAGAGTGGACAGCCTCTTATCAAGATCTTGTAGCAGAGCTGGAAGATGAACTCATTGCCATTGGACCCCCCCACCCCCACCCCCTGATCCTCAACCTGAAACATGAGAACCTCTATTTTGAACTCTCTATATTGAAAATTTGCTTCCTCCTTTTTGCCTAAACAGAATGATTAACATTCATACTGTCTTTACTAAATAACTGGAAACTCCCTACCTTAAGATGTTCCTTAGCAGTAATTCCCTTGCTTTGAGCCATGAAGACCATTAAGATTCTATTGTGTTTAGGCAAGGAACAGGAAAGTGCCCTTAGAAATTATTAACCTGCTTGATCTGGCTTCTGTAATTGCTTTTGAGTAGAATTTCCCTCTTATTTTCTTCTCCACCCCCTCCTCAACAGTTACTGCTCCTGCCTACTGAACTCAAATGTGGATTTTGCCTTTACAAGCACTACTCTGCTTATACTCAGGGATGCAAGGTTTTTGAGAAACATGAGTGTTCCTGCAGTCGTTGGTAATAAAGACTCCTATAATTTTGCTACGACTGGATGTCCTCTTCTTTTTCCCTGATAAGATTATAAGAAACCTACCCCGTGCCCATCTTGAACTGGATCACCCCAAATTCAGAGCTTTTGGAAGGAATCACACTTGTACACCTGAATGCAAAAACTCATCTTCTGACAAAGCAATTACTAGAAGTAAAGCCCAGGTCACCTCTTTCCTCACCCTGAACCTGCACATCCCAATTCTCCTGTTTTTCTCCATAGCCCAGACCAGGGGCTACATCTTCCTTCAGGTGCCCCTTCTCCTCCTCCTGATGTCCACCTATGTTTCTGCTCCCACCAAGAGACACACCATTCCACAACTAGGGTTTTCAAAAACACCATCCATCCTCCTTCACACTAAGACTCACATTTAAAGACATCTTGTTCAGCAGACCATGGTCAGCATAGCAGCAGATTTTCCCAGGTGACCACGTAGAAGAAACTGAGGATCACAGGTAGAGAAAGAATCCAAAAAAGCTGCCCTCCTTGTCCTGTGCTTATAACATCATAAGAGGAGAAATTTATTTCCCACAAAGCTCTGCAATCTTCAATTAGGCACCAAAGTAAATTTTAATATGTTTTCACAGCACAGGATCCTGTTACCAGGACACCAGAACCTGATTGGAGAGAAAAGGATTCAATCCATATGAGTGAGTGATAGGATCCTGATTCTTTATAAAATTCCTGGTTTGACATTTCAGGGCTATAGGGATATGCTTATGTGGGTCATTTAGTCAGTTATATTAATAAGT